TTTTTTTTTAAAGATTTTATTTATTTATTCTGACAGAGAGAGACACAGTGAGAGAGGGAATACAAGCAGTTGGAGTGGGAGAGGGAGAAGCAGGCTTCCCGCGGAGCAGGAGCCCGATGCGGGCCTCGATCCCAGGACCCTGGGATCATGACCTGAGCCGAAGGCAGACGCTTAACGACTGAGCCACACAGGCACCCCTATATATAGCAATTTTTAAGAAACCTGAGCTGGTTATCAGCTATTATCATTGCAATTATTCTGATTAACCAGATTTTAAAACTCGTATTATTTGTTGTCACCTAGTTTGAGAAATTGTATGACTCATTCTTTATCTCTGCCCTTTTTTTTAAATGAATTGCAAGATGAATCCAAACTAAAATCCTACCATAGATTCGACAAAATTCTATCCAAAAATCTTCCAACTGACTCCTAAAATAATGATTTTCTCATCTCTTTGAAATTTTCTAGGCATTCTACAACACAAGCAGCAAGTATTTTAACCCAAATACTTTGTTCATATCTAAGGCACACCTCATAAGTTTGGATGCCATTTGCTGAAACTTATTAGATTGCCTTCTGCTACTCCTCATATTAACACTTTTTCTTGTTTCTGTTCTGATGGTGACTTCTAAAATCAGCTTTCCACCAATATTTAACATTTTGGTTAAGTATCCTTCAATCTCCTAGGTACACAGCTTAAAAACACAAAAAGGTACCAAATCTCTCCCTTCTCCATAGCAAGTAAAAAGCTGTTAAGGATAACAAATCTAGAAATCACCTATGTTCTCTCTTTCATAAAATTAGACCTCTTTTCCTCCCAGATCTTTAGTCCCTCCTTAGTTAAGCGAAGACACCGAATTAGACAAAAAAGGCTTTGAACCAAATATTTACATAACTGCAACTCTAATTAAATATATGAAAGATGGGTGGCACAGGATAAAGACAGATCTCTAAAAACTGGATATGCTACTGGTGGCAACAGAGAGGATGCAGCATATAATCCAGCCAAATTAGTGATGCCAAGATTTATAAATTACGCACCAAAATGAGATTTAGTACAAATATACTGTAGTAGCTCTAATTAAGTTTACATCAAACCATTAAATGTTTTACAACTCCTATCTTCATTTATAAGTGGTACATAACCTACCATGTCTAAATTATATAAAATAAACCTCTTTGCTATGATACTTTGTTATTCATTTACTTTAATTTATATACACCTGAATGAGTAACGGTAGTAAAATGTTTAATAAAAGATAACACCAAAGCACACATTTCCCACGTGCTCTCCAGATTCTCTCTTCCCTCTGGTGTTGCTATAATATGATATGATCAGACTTTATACAAATCATCTCATGGCACCACATAACTTTATTTTAAAAGGGTAGCCTAAAGGAAAAACAGAATAAACACTAAAACCAGAGGGTTTTTTTCCTTAAACACTTTTATTTACTGTTAATGCCCCACATTCACAAAATATATAAACATTGGTGCCCTACATACTTGTAAAGGATTCAAATCAAGAAACAGGCAAGATTATTTCTTTAAATAATAAGCTGGTATTTATTCTGAACAATACAAGTTAAACAATGATGAAATAAACCAAATTCCTACATACTACTCCCTAATAATAAGGCTGGGCAGTGGGAAAAGCATGCTTTCTTTCAGAAACACTTCCAAATATTTTAGTATTCAATTGAGTCAACTATTTTGGTTACCTTTAAAAGCAACTGACAGGGGTGCATGGGTGGCTCAGTTAGTTAAGGGTCTGCCTTCAGCTCAGGTCATGATCCCGGGGTCCTGGGATCGAGCCCCGCATCGGGCTCCCTGCTCAGTGAGGAACCTGCTTCTCCTTCCCCCGCCCCACCTCATGCTCTCTCTTGCTATCTCTCTTTCAAATAAATAATAAAATCCTTGAAAAAAATAAAATGAACACACACTAAATTTCATGATCACAAACTTAAGGGGGAAACCCCTAAACATATACAAAGAGAGAGGAACCTGTTACACAGCATGGGGAGGCACCTACCTCATGCACTAGAGCAAGTGAGGTCTGCTTGAAACTTCGCCCTCTACTGGCCATCAGTCGATTCAATGGTTTACCATCTTTACTCTGATAGGTTGAAACATCGTAACAAAATAACATACCACCTGAGGGGAAAAAACAATTTATAAAAAAATTTCTTACGGAAAAACTTCATTAATTAGATTCCCATAGTCTCAGTAATCCATATTCAATCAATCTGGATAGAGAGATTTATTTATTTATTTTAAAAGATTTTATTTATTTGTTTGAGGGAGAGAGGGAGAGAGAGCGTGCACACTGGAGAACAAGAGCAAGGGGAGGGGCAGAGGAGGAGAGAGAAACAGACCCCCCACTGAGCAAGGAACCCGATGTGGGGCTCAATCCCAGGACCCTGGGATCGTGACCTGAGCTGAAGGGAGATGCTTAACTGACTGAGCCACCCAGGCGCCCCTGGATAGAGAGATTCAGAAATTAAAATAATTTGCTGAGCAAATTATGATTTTTGACTACTGGTGTCTACGGAAAGAAAAAATAGAAGAGATGTAAGAAGTTAGCAGTTACCATATTCAAATTATCACTTATTTATGAGCCTTATTCATTTGTAAATAAATGAACAAATTTACAATTCATGATTTATTTTAAATTTTGTTAGCTGTTATTTCCAGAGATTTTTTTAATTTTTTAAGAATAAATTCCAAATAGGGTGCCTGGGTAGCTCAGGTGGTTTAGCATCTGTCTCTTGATTTCAGCTCAGTTCATGATCTCAGGGTCCTGCGACTGGGCCCCACGTGGGGCTCCTCACTCAGCAAGGAGTTGGCTTGAGGATTCTCTCTCTCCCTCTGCCCCTCCCGTCGCTTGTGTGCGCTCTCTAAATAAATAAATCTTAAAAAAAAAAAAGAAGAAGAAGAAGAAGAAATTCCAATTAAAGAGAAATGCTTACACATATCAATCCTCGTGAACTCCTGCAGGGGTTCCTTTAGGTTATACCCACAAGTGAACAAGTTTTTCTTCATCCCTACATGCAATCACTCTCCCCTTCTTCCTCCCTCCTCCTCTTCTTCTAACCTTTCTCCTCCCTGTCCTCCCCACTCTGGTCAACTAAGTTCTCAAACTGAACTTCCAGCTCCAGCTGGCCCCCAGTGTCAACTGAAAAGCAAAGGAAGACAGCCAAATGCTAGAAGTAGTCTTGGAAGCTATCTGGGTAATTGTGAGCCAATAAGAAGACACACTCAAGAACTGAAATAATTTAAAACATAGAGATCATTACATTTTTAAATATCTCCTATTGAAGTATGATATACACAGAGAAAAGTACACATCGTAAGCATAGAGCTCAATGAATTTTCACAAACTGAACATGTAATTGGCACCCAGATCAAGAAACAAACCATTGTCCACATCCCAGAAACCTTTCTCATGTCTCCTTCCAGTCACGTCCACCCCACCCCAAATGTACAAATCTGCTAACAACCACTTTGCCTACTTTGGTACTTTATATAAATGGAATTAGACTGTATATATGCTTTTATATCTGGCTTCATTCACTCAAAAAATCACTGCGAGAATCATCCACGTTATTCGCAATTGTAGTCTGTTCATTCCATCTATATTCCATCACGTGAATATAACACAATTTATTTATCCATTTTACAGTCAATAGGCATTTAGACAGCTTCCAAGTTTAAGGCCACTCAAATAATGCTGCTATGGACATTACAGTATGTCTTTTTGGGATTTCATTTAGGTTTATCCCTAGAGTGAAATAACTAGGTAAAACGGGGTATGAATTTGTTCAGAACCAGTTTTGCAAAGTGGTTGTACTAATTCACATTCCCAGCCCCAGTTCGGGTTGCTCCACATATTTACCAATACTTTTTGCCTTCCATCTTTTTTCACTTTAGCCAACCTGGTAAGTATGGTATGGTATCTTACTATGGTTTTAATTTGCATTTCTCTGATAATGAAGTTGACTCAATGTTCATTGGACATTGGAATTTCTTCTTTTGGAGGCTGTGTTCAATTCTGTTTCCAATTTTTTTTTGAGTGCTTTTCTTATTAATTTGCAAAAAATACCTGATATAATCTAAATTGAGTCCTTTATCAGATATATGTCTTATAAATACCTTCTTTGCATTCCATGGCCTGCCTTCAAGTGCTCTATAATAATAGATTTTGGTTAACATGTGTCCTTGATTTTAATATAATTTGTTATTTTTGTAATTATGGATTTTAATTATAGGATCATTTATTGAAAAGATCATCCCTTTTCTCCACAGCATTACAGGGTCACCTAGGTAAGAAATCTGGTGACCTTGATATGTGGGTCTGTTTCTGGACATTCTACATTCTTCATTGGTCAATCTGTCTATCCTTGCACCAATACCACATTGTCAATTATTGTGGCTTTCTGATAGGTCTTGATATCTGGTAATGTATATCCTCCTATTTTGGTGTTGTTCTTCAACATTACTTTGGCTAATTTTGGCCTTTCCATTTCCACACAAATTTTAGAATCAGCTTGTCATATTGCTAGGGACTGGAATGAATCTATACATTAATTTAAGAGAATTAACATTTTTACAAACTAGAGTCTTCTAGTCCATCAACATTGTATATCACTTCATTTATTAGGATGTCTTTAATTTTTTCTCCATAATATTTTGTAGCTTCCAGTGTAAAGGTTTTATGCATTCTGTTAAATTTATCCTAGGTAATTAATATTTTTCAGTGCTGTTATAAAGGGTACAATCTTTTAATTTCTTTTTTTATTATGGTATATAAAAACATATAATTGATTTGTATGTTGACCTTTGTATGTATAAGTGACCTTGCTGAATTCATTTACTAATCCTAATTCGTCTGTAGATTATTTTGGATTTTCCATGTATTATACAATCGTCTACAAATAATGACTATTTAATTGAGTAATCACTAATGAATTTTTTTTTTTTTTTTAAAACTAAGCTTTACAGGGGCCCCTGGGTGGCTCAGTCACTTAAGCGTCAGCCTTCAGCTCAGGTCATGATCTCAGAGTCCTGGGATCCAGCCCCACATCCGGCTCTCTGCTCAGCACGGAGTCTGCTTCTCCCTCTCGCTCTCCCTCTGTGCTCTCTCTCTCTCAAATAAATAGTCTTTTTTTTTTTTTAATTTTTATTTATTTATTTATTTGACAGACAGAGACAATGAGAGAGGGAACACAAGGAGGGGGAATGAGGGAGGGAGAGCAGGCTTCCCGCCAAGCAGAGAGCCCGATGCGGGGCTCGATCCCAGGACCCCGGGATCATGACCTGAGCCGAAGGCAGTTGCCCAACCAACTGAGCCACCCAGGCGCCCCTCAAACAAATAAAGTCTTTAAAAAAAAAAGTTTTTAAGCTAAGCTTTACTCCCAACATGGGGCTTGAAGTTTGAGAGTTGCATGCTCTACCAACTGAGCCAGCCAGGCACCCCACTGATGACTATTTTAATGGCTAATTTTTTGCCTGCAAATAATTAGTATTTTACCTCTTCCTTTCTAATCCTTATGACTTTTATTTATTTTTCATGGCTTATTACACTAGCTATAATCTTCATTACAATACTGAAAAATAGTGCTTATAACAAACATCCCTATCTTTTTCCCAATCTCAGGAGTAAAGGTTTCAATATCTCAGTATGAAGTACAAAGACAGCATTGTAGATGTTCTTTTATGAGAATTTTAAAAAGTTCCCTTCCATTCATAGTTTAATGACAGTCTTTCTTTTTAAAATTTTATTTTTATTTTCTTTAAAGATTTTATTTATTTATTTGACAGAGAGAGACACAGTGAGAGAGGGAACACAAGCAGGGGGAGTGGGAGAGGGAGAAGCAGGCTTCCCGCGGAGCAGGGAGCCTGATGCGGGGCTCGATCCCAGCACCCTGGGATTATGACCTGAGCTGAAGGCAGACGCTTAACGACTGAGCCACCCAGGCGCCCCGACAGTCTTTTTTGCATCATGAATGGGAACAAAATTTTTCAAAGGCTTTTTCTGCATCTATTGAGATCATCTAAAGATTGTTCTGCCTTTTTCTATTAATATACTGAATTATACTGATTTTCAAACATTAAATTAACCTCTCTTAGTTGTTATGTATTATCCTCTGTATTGCTAAATTCAATTTTCTAATATATTTTTTGGGTATTTTTACAACTTTGCATAATGGAAAAGACTGCTTTATAATATTCCCTTCTTGTACTCAGTATCAAGATTATGTTGATCTCATCAACTGAGCCACCCAGGTATCTCACTTTAAAACATTTTTTAGGGACACTTGGGTTGCTCAGTTAAGTGTCTGCCTTCAGATCAGGTCACGGGATCAAGTCTCATGTCAGGCTTCCTGCTCAGTGGGGCGTCTGCTTCTACCCCTCCCCCTGGTCTATGCTTGTGCTCAATCTCTCTCTCTCAAAAATAAATAAATAAAATCTTTAAAAAACTGTTTTAATGTTTCCCACTATTATTGTAGGTTTGTCCACTTTTTTAAAATTTAAATTCCAGTTAACAGAGTATAATATTAGTTTCAGGTGTACAATAGAGTGATTCAAAACTTACACACAACACCTGACTCTCATCACAACAGGTGTACTCCTTAATCCCCATCACCTATTAAGCCAGGCCCCCACCCACCTTCCTTCTGGTAGGTTTGTCCATTTTGTCTTTTTTTAGTTGTGTGAATGTTTTTCATATATTTTAAAAATTATGCTATTTTGTGTACACTGATTAGAACTGTGATAATTTCTTAGTGGAATGACTTCTTTATCTCCATGAAATGTCCCCTTCATTTCAAAGCTTTTTTCTTTTTCATACATCCCTTTTCATTGAATACTGGACAGTATACAAAGGAAGCACAGAAAACCTAAATGATATTATTTTTTTACTCAGAGAGGAGTTTCTCCTCCCCTCTTTCAGGTAGATAGAACAAAGGACTGATTTAAATTGAATCAGAGATTGAACTGGGTTAGGCTTGATTATAGCTTTGGTAAATCTCAGTCTCCCTCTGGTTCAACCCTGTTCCTAGGGCATGCCTCCCCCAAGATTTTCATCTGACATCATAATTGGTCTCCTCAATATGGAAAGCTTATGAGAGATTCAGATGTGTCCTCCGAAGTTTTCAGTTTAGCTCTTTAACCTCCCATCCCATAAACCTTCGAAATTTGACAAGTATCTTGAGGGAGAAATAGGCTATGTGTCTGAGGCCCCACAAGTCCCCGGTTTTACCACTCAGACACCATATGAATGACAAGGTCTCTGTTGGTTTCTCTGCCTCCTGCACCAGCCTCTTGTTAAGGTCAAGCCTGAATTTCAGTCTCTAGTTGAGGCCAGACTAAGTAAGTGCCCCCAGGTGAAAAGAGGTGTAACTCTTCAGTATCAATTCACTACTCGTGTGCTTTGTTTTCAGGCCCACTCTCCTAGCTCCTAAGCACAGGGAGGCTGGAGATTTCACTTCGCCTCTCAGAAGCACCAGCCTAGTTCTTTAACTTTCCGTGCAAACTCAAAATTCAGTCAGATAGCTTATGAGAAAAATCTCTAGTTTCTCACCTCTATTAGTCAGAGTCTTCAGAGAACCAGAATCTCAATCTCAATCTTTCTCTCCCCACCTCTCCCTCTCCCCTCCACCTTTCTCTCTCTCTATATGGGGAGATTTATTATAGGAATTGGCTCACAAGATTATGGAGGCTAAGAAGTCCCATGATCTTGCTGTCTGCAAGCTGGAGATCCAGGAAGGCTGGTGGTGTAATTCAGTAATTCAATGTAATTCAGAGAAGATGGATGTCCTAGCTAAGGAAAGAGCAAATTCACCCTTCTTCTAGCTCTCTAGTCAGGCCATCAGTGAAATGGATGTTGCCCACCCACATTGGTGAGAATGACCTTCTTTCCTCAGTCTACTGATTGAAATGCTAACCTCTTCTGGAAACACACTCAAAGACGTCCAGAAGTAATGTTTTACCAGCTATCTGAGTATCACTTAGCCCAGTCAAGCTGACATAGAAAATGAGCCATCACATCACTCTAAACCCATGAAACCACTAAAAGCTCCACTGGTTCCTCTATACTCCAACAGACCTCTTCTTGGGCCAAGCCCCAATCCTAGCACACAACCAAAATCAGTGACTATCTCCCATGGGGCAGTGGGGGCACAGTCCTAAAATGCTCTTTCTCCCCATTCTGTAGTTTTAGTCTACCTGTCTTTGCTTCTACAGTTCTCTGATACCTTTAAAATGTGGTTTATTTTGGTCATTTGTCCAGTTGTGTCAAAATGTCAGCAGCAGTGGTGATTTGCCATGACCTATCACATCGGTCTTGGAAGTGGAAGTTACATCCTTACATTAAAAACCTACACCTTCATACACACACACACACACACACACACACACACACACTGGAATATTATGCAGCCATCAAAAAATGAAATCTTGACATTTGCAACGACGTGGATGGAACTAGAGGGTATTATGCTAAGTGAAATAAGTCAATCAGGGAAAGACAAGTATCATATGATCTCACTGATATGAGGAATTTGAGAAATAAGAGGATCATAGGGGAAGGGAGGGAAAAATGAAACAAGACGAAACCAGAGAGGGAGACAAACCATAAGAGACTCTTAACAAACTGAGGGTTGCTGGAGTGGAGGGGGGTGGGAGGGATGGGGTGGCTGGGTGATGGACACTGGGGAGGGTATGTGCTATGGTGAGCACTGTGAACTGTGTAAGACTGATGAATCACAAACCTGTACCCCTGAAACAAATAACACATTATATGCTAATAAAAAAAAATCCTAAGTATTTAGTAATATAAACACACACACACATACACAAATAAATAAAATGCTCAGTGTGTGATAAGCAAAACAAAACAAAACAAAACAACCTGTACCTTGATACTATGTACTGTACTTACCTGCAAGGCCAGGTTTCAGACCTGGCTGCTTATTGGTTTCATACATTTTCAATATAAAATTGGGGATTCCTGCTACAGTTTTTCCTTGGTCTGACCGGACACCTCCTTTTAATGCAGAGTGATACACTCCTCGGGGCATATTCACCATTTCCTGCTTCACAAGAGATGTAAAAAATTCCTCCAAAGCTGAAAGAGATGAAAGGAAATCAGAAGTAGAGTAAATATAGTCTGTTAGGAGAGAATCAATCATTCATTCTTAACTCATATATGCGTGTGTGTGTGTAAGTATATATATACTTGCTGTATACATATATATGTAAGTATATAAACATATACACACTTGCCGTATATACTTATACACACACAGATACACAGACATAGAGCAATATTTCAAACCAAACTTCACAAAGTAAACAGGGAACTCTTGATCCCCATCCCTTCCTTAGTTTTCCCAAATTAGAATATGGCACCCAGTTACTCAAGCTTAAAAACAGAGACATTCTTAATTCCTCTCTTTCTCCTACTTCTCACAAGTAATCCATTAGCAAATCCTTCTAGATCTGCCTTCAAAAATATATCCCAGATCCATCCATTTCTCTCCATTTTCGCTGCTACTTGGCCAGTTATTATCTTCTCTCTTCTTCATCGGGCCAAATTTAAAAACTAGCTTCTTGGTGTCTTCTCCTCAGGACCACCCCACAAACCATCCTCTGCCCGGAAGCCAGGATTTTATGTCATTGCCTTCCCTAACATCTTCCAGTGATTTTTCACCACACACGGAATAACATTATTGCTTAACATTTCTACTTATTATAGACAGAAATATGGGCTCAGAAGACAATAGGATACCCAAACAAAATACTTGATAAGACTATACGTTCATATTCAAGTGTTATTTTTCCAAGGACCACTAGAGGTTGCCAATGCAGAAACAAAAACAACAAACACATGAAAGCTAAACAAATGTGTGGAAAACAAAAAAGAAAACCACTATATGTGCCTCTCATAGGAACAAAAAAGAAGGGTCCACCTGACGAAACTGGAATTTCATTCTTAGTAGATTGAAAAGCCTGTGTTAAATGACCATGATTAAATTAAAGGCAGCGAGTGCTCAGTAGAGTATCTATTATGTGCCCAGATCTGTCATTCCTATATAGAACCTTCGCAGATGTGACCATGCTTCTCCATCCACAGCCCGGAGAACACCTGTGTGGGATGTTTTCCATTTACCCCTCCAGACCCACCCTCTGCCCTCTCAACCCTGCTCAGTGACCTGGAAGAATGACCTTTAACAACTGCATCCACAGGCTCCCTTGTGCTTTGGCTTCCAGTTGGCTTTATCCAATGGGAGACACTTGCAGGAGGCCAGAGGGTGGAAACAGAGTGAGGTCAGGGCATATATTCCCCAGACCCCCTCCTGCAGGATTGCTACCAGTTGCCTGCATCCCTCTTCTGCAGGCCCTGGCCCCCCTTAGGCAGCACTAATTATGACACAGATGCTCTCCCTAATTCTCCAAACTGTTATGCCCCTTCCTTACCTCTTCAGGCCCAGAGGCATTAACCACTCTGGGATGAGACACCATTGCTTGTGAATTTCCTTCAGCCCTGACCACACAACTGTCAAGAGTCCCTGGACTCCATCTGAATGTGCCTTTTCTGTCAAGACCCTGATCGATGCATCATCTAAATGAAAGAAATGAGTAACATCCAATTGCATCCAATATGCATGCACATGTGTGACCGCTTCACACTGAGTGTTAAGTACAGACTTTTCAGAATGTAGCAAAGAATTATTTTCGGGAGGACAGAGGAGCTATGGTGAGAGAAGATAATTTCACGCTTTCTCCGAAGGGATTCTATTTTGGCAAAAAGCTCACACACGTCAGGAGGTAAGTACACATCTGCACATACACTAACTCCGGAATGCAAATTTGTCTACTTGTCAAGCTCTTCAGAGAGCTAAGGATTCTCAAATTAACTGCAGACCCGAGAACAGTTTAAATGAGGATACGATACCATGAGCATAAGCGATACATACAGCACCATCTTTCCCCAACCACTAAGCCAGCAACTAGGAATTTTTCTGCTGCTTCTGAGCCTGGCCCTGTACCTCCAGATGACCAGATGAGAATTTAAAAGAGCTGACAATTTGTAGAACAGGGTCTTAGATATAAATTTTTAAAACAACCCCAATGTCCTTTAAAAAGTGAGCGGACAAACTGGTACACACCACAGTGGAATACTACTCAGCAATTAAAAAAAATTGAGATAGGCCAGTATTTGGATAAATATCAAAGACATTATGCTGAGTGAAAAAAAAAAAAGTTAAACCAAAAAGTGTATATACTATATGGAAAACACCACCACCAACAGCGGGAGAAACCCTATAATAGGTCTATACTTTGGTTACTTGCTTTGTACCCATGGGAATTTCCTAGTTGTAATAACGAACTAAGGTATGTGAGATGTTGTGCAGCAGGGTAAAAGTACACGGGAACTCTCTAAAGTGTATTCGCAACTTCTTTTAGGTCTAAAATTCTGTCAAAATAAAAAGTAAATAAATACCAGTAACATCCCCACTTAAAATAACGCAAATTACTGGATTCACGCTGCAGCTGCTTTTACGTCTACTTAAAAGGCAAGAAGAGAAGAAAAGGACCAGGATTCATTCACACTCAGTGCAACTGGGTTTTCTGGCTTTCTGGCACTAGAGATCTCATCTATACTCTCCACCCTATACATTTTAGGGTACATATTCCTAAGGCTCATGCTTTCCCCTGGTTCTTTTTTGACTAGCCCGGTCACTGCAGGGAAAGTGAGGCACAGAAAGAGAACTTTGCCCACGGGGACACGGTTTGCCAGACACAGACAGCATCTACAACACCCTCATCTGAGTCTAATTACTGAATTTTCTCAAACAGATACAGTTGCTGAACTCAAAGCCTCCCCTTCTTTCTCAGAGAAGGGCACTTGAACAAAGCACAAGAACAAACGACGCAGAAGAACAGGTTACTGGCCACCACATCCTGAGAGGAGAGAAGCAACAGCATGCCTTGACCACACCTTCTCCTTTTTCCAATACAGGACTGGAGGGACGGACCCATGTCACTAGGAACAACATCATTTATTTATTATTTTTTTATTATGTTATGTTAGTCACCATACATTACATCATGAGTTTTTGATGTAGTGTTCCATGATTCATTGTTTGCAGATAACACCCAGTGCTCCATTCAATACATGCCCTCTTTAATACCCATCACCAGGCTAACCCATCCCCCCCCTTCTAAAACCCTCAGTGTGTCTCAGAGTCCATAGTCTCTCATGATTCATCTCCCCCTCCAATTTCCCCCGTTCATTTTTCCCTTCCTCCTCCTAATGTCCTCCATGCTATTCCTTATGTTCCACATATAAGTGAAACCATGTAATTGTCTTTCTCTGCTTGACTTATTTCACTTAGCATGATCCCCTCCAGTTCCATCCATGTCAGATTAAACTCTAAATGGATGAAAGACCTCAATGTGAGACAGGAATCCATCAAAATCCTAGAGGAGAACATAGGCAGTAACCTCTTCGACATCGGCCACAGCAACTTCCTTCAAGACACGTCTCCAAAGACAAGGGAAACAAAAGCGAAAATGAACTATTGGGACTTCATCAAGATAAAAAGCTTCTGCACAGCAAAGGAAACAGTCAACAAAACAAAGAGGCAACCCACAGAATGGGAGAAGATATTTGCAAATGACACTACAGATGAAGGGCTGGTATCCAAGATCTATAAAGAACTTCTCAAACTCAACACCCAAAAAACAAATAATCAAGTCAAAAAAACATGGGCAGAAGACATGAACAGACACTTCTCCAAAGAAGACATATGAATGGCTAACAGACACATGAAAAAATGTTCAACATCATTAGCCATCAGGGAAATTCAAATCAAAACCACACTGAGATACCACCTTACACCAGTTAGAATGGCAAAAATTGACAAGGCAAGAAACAACAAATGTTGGAGAGGGTGTGGAGAAAGGGGAACAACGTCATTTAAAAAGCCCAAAAGAACTTTTCCCTCTAAGGTGATTTTGGGACACAGGAGGAACTCTGGATAACAGTTATTTCCTTCCTAGGACCATTAAAACAGCAAAGGGGTCCTAGACTCTGAAGAGCTTTCCGGAAGTGGGGAAGGACAGAAGAGAGGACCAGGGAATAAATCTTTAAGGCTTGTTCTGGACATCAAGAGAAAAGGAAGGGACAGGAGCTTTGTCTAAAACCAGATAATATATATTTGCCTGAATTCCTCAGGAAATCTCTGTGTAGGGTGAAACCAAGGGAAAAAATGTCCCCTAGTATAGGATATTGAGATTATGATTGACCAGATGACATTTCTTGAGTGTACTGAACTTAATTTTCAGAAATTGACTTTATACATCCATGTATATTTAAGGTAGAATTGGGACAGAACAAGGTAATAGATGCACGCTCGGCAAAATGTTGGCTAAGACTGAATTAGAATAATTAGATATAATTAGAATAATTTCTTTAAATGTCAAGGTCCTGTCAGCTTTTTATCAAAATGGAATGATCAAACAATTTAATCCATTTTTTAAACCATTAATTTGCAGCTCTCAAATATTGATACCATCTTTGGAATAATTCTAAAGAAAGAATAAATTCATAAATGAAAGTACCCAGTAAGTCTCTGAAGAGTCTAACCATCTTTTCATTTAGCTTATAGAATAAAGAACTATTATTGGAGCCAGCGACTTAAAGTCCCATTGCAAACTGGTCTCGTAGAATATAGCTTTTGAAATGAATTTTAATTTCTCGCTGAAAATGGTTGTTTAAACTAGTTTTCTGGTTCAATTTTGTTCAACTCTAACGCTTTTCAGTGTGTTCTGAACACCATCACTACCTCAGGCAGTCCCTCTACAACAGATGGATACGTCATGCCTTTCAGACAGAAAGTAAGCCATAATTAAAGTAAGCTATCATATGTACACATCACAAAAGAACACAATCAGACAGGTAAAATCCCTGAAAAATGCTGGCTTCCCTGCCACTATATAGGAGTCACCTGGTAAGACCAAAGGAGCAGTAAGTGACAACAGTTTGAGATAGCAAGAGCCAGGAACAGAAAGATCCACATCCTTCTCATCGCCCTCATCATCTTCGTCTTCATCTAGCTCATCGGGAGTAGGGATTTCGGGCCTTATCTGAAATGACAGAGAAGGCAATACTAAAACATTATGTAAAATCTTTTCCTTGCACTTTTTATGTCGAGATTTAAAAACTGAGTTAGACTCATTGCACTGTAATGTCAAAAGACCACTGAAAATTAATTTTAAAGTATCTATTCATTTTCAGATTAACTGAATGATAAACTCTATCTTAGTAGATACAATCCCAGATCCATGTAAAGAACTAATGGTAATATACTAAGAAAATTACCATAAGCCAGCGTAAGCGATGATTATTATAGAACACTAATAAAATTTTACGCCATCTGACAATAAAATGCAAACACTGACACATTCAATATATTGAACTTCTATGGTTTGTAATTAAATATTTGCCTTGTCGGAATACTTTTTTTTTAACTTCTGATTCTAGCCATATCTCTACGGCAAAGCTTAAAATCTTCCAGTAGAATATATACTAGAGATCAGGAAAGGACAGAATGCGTTAGTTGACTTTCGTTTAGACTTGGCAGTTTGTTGCTATAGAATATAAAAACACTAAAATCTGTAACTGGTAGCTATACTTTACTGTGTCTAATTTGCAATTTGAAGGTTTTATTTGAACCAAAAATTTAGGTTTGTTTGAACCAAAAATTTTAAAATGTAAAAAGATTACCACTATTGCAGTTTCTACAAGATACAACTGTCAAGCAATTAATTAAATTTTTAATACTTTCAATGACACACCATCACAATGCCCACATGGAGATAATTAAGCATAAGGGGAGGAATCAAAATATATAAAAGTGGTTGCTATAACCATAAAGTGCCAGAACCCAGTCATTACCATTAGCCTGTCTCCCGGAGTTATTTTTAGAAATAATTAACAATTCTTGCAGACTGCCTTCTTCATAGGTCCCCAAAGCACTGTTCCATTTAGGAACTGCACTGAGTCAGGATTCTTGCAGGGGGATAAAAGAAAACAGAGAGGAAATGCTTCTCTTAAGTATAATAACCTCAAATCCAATGAAGCCTTTCAACCATAACTAGTGTTCTCTTCACTAGTGAAGGAATAAAAGCAACCTGACTACCCGAGCATTTTCCAAGACATGATTTAATTCTGATTCAATATTGAGTACCTAATTCTCAGAGGACTGAGCCAGCCATAATTACAGAGATAACAATAATGTATGCTCCACACAGGGCAAGAGAGCATTTGTGGGTATCAATGCTTACTGGAGAAACTCGGGCACATTTGCAACCCTTTAGGCTCTCACAAGTGGGGGTTTTCCAAGTGTCTCTGGTCTGTGTACATACTGTGAATGGGCCAGGTTTAGTATCATCAGGAGTTATTTTAGCGATCCTAACCAGTCCCAGTTGCCTAAGAAGATCCACAAAAGGAGTTGGTCCTGGTTTCGTTTGCCTTGCTTCCTGTTTACACATCATAGTACAAATTGAAAATAATATTTGAAGAGCATACAGGGGGAAACAGACAACAATGTTTACAGCCCGAGACTCCACGGGTAATGCCAGCTACCACACCAGGGTATCCAAGCGCTGGAAGCTCTGACATACACCCTGTGTACAAATGGCGGGACATTTGGGGAGCTGAAAGGTAAACAGAGGTAAACATGTAAATTACCATGAAAATTCAGAGGGATGGTGAGGATATGGAGGAATCAGAACACTCCTACTCTGCTGGTGGGAATATAAAATGGCTCAGCCCCCTTGGAAAACAGTATGGCAGTTTCTCAAAAAGTTCAACAGAGTTACCGCATGGCCCAGTAATTCCACTCCTAGCTATAGAATCGAGAGAAATGAAAATATACAATCACGTAAAAACTTGCATACATGTGTGAATGCACTATTCATAATAGCCCCCAAATGGGAGCAACTCAAATGTCCATGATCTGATAAATACGTAAACGACATGTGGCATATCTACCCAATGTTTTATTATTCAGTCATACAAAGGTGTGAAGTACAGATACGTGCTAGAGATGAATGCACCTTGAAACCATTATGCTAAGTGAAGGGAGCCAGTCACAAAAGACCACATACTATGTGATTTCATTATAGGAAAGGTTTGGGTTAGGCAAATTGAGGGACAGAAAGTAGATTAACAGCTGCTTAGGGCTGTGGGAAGGGAAAGGGGTGATGGGGATTGACTACTAAGAAAATGTTCTAAAATTAGATTGTGGTTGCTCTGCGATTAGTTGCACAGATCTTTGAATATACTAAAATCACCGAATCGTACACTTTAAATGGGTGAAATATATGGAATGAGAATTATAGCTCAATAAAGCTGCTGAATAAGAACAGAAGAAGGGAAAGAGGAAGGTTGGAAGGAAGGCAGGTTATAAGAAGGAGGTGGTAGAGGAAAAGGGAGGGGGGCAGTGGAAGCTGGAAGCTGTCACCACCTTCAGAGGGATCTTAACTGGTGTAGGAACTATGGCAAATGACCAAATGCTTCCAATTCCAGAATTATTTAATGTAAAAGGGATAGGATTATTTTTGCACTTATTTTAGCCCGCCCAGTCTTTCAGTTCGGTCAACCTAAATTACTTAAAATGAGTCACAGCACCCAAGCCATCAATATTTCTTAGAAACGATAAAGAAAGACCTACTAGGTTGGAAATAAAAAATAACGATCCACTCATCTATCTTATGGTGTCTAATTTTACATTCACATAACTGGATGCCTATATTAATTTATCTGCCATGTGGTAAAGAGCGTATGTCTGCATCTTACATATGCATATATTTTAACAAAGAAACTACAGATGTACTGTCATTTAAGAATAGCTGATATACTCTGCCGACTTAGAATGGTGTGATTTGTGTCTTCAAAGGCGAGTTAATTCTCCTGAACATATTAGCACTTATTGTTGGACCCTGGTTTCATTACATTTCCCTCTTCCTCTGCTCACCCCTTAAAGAAATATTTGTTCCAGCTTCTCTATGCTAGCCCCAGGCTTTTCACTTGCTTTGTGTGTAACGACTGAATAAGATGAATGTGCGCACAACTAAGAAAAATCAAGAGACGTCATGTAAAAGAATACCTTTAAAATTATAACATTTTGGTAATTATATTACATTAGCTACTAAAACATCCAGGAAAACTGCACACATATTTAAAATACATACACACACGCGCGCGTGCACACACATGTACATACACACACAACTACACCCTTCCAATTATAGCTAAGCTTTGTTGAAAAAACTTAAGTGGAGAGCCAAAGAGAAAATGATAAATTACTTTTAGAATCTGCTTCAAATTGAATATTGGAAAGCTTATCCTACAAAATGCCTCCTCTACGGGTTCTGAGCCAGATAACCTTTTTTTTTTTAAAGATTTTATTTATTTATTTGAGAGAGAGAGAATGAGATAGAGAGAGAGAGCATGAGACAGGGGAGGGTTAGAGGGAGAAGCAGGCTCCTCGCCGAGCAGGGAGCCCGATGCGGGACTCGATCCAGGGACTCCAGGATCATGACCTGAGCCAAAGGCAGTCGCTTAACCAACTGAGCCACCCAGGCGCCCTGAGCCAGATAACCTTTTAACCGTATTTTCTAGTGTATAACCTATGGAAATCCAGGAGTTTGTGCATAAACACAGGATTTTATTTAGAACACATCAAGTATCCACATAAATTTATTTAAAAAGAGAAACAGCTTCTGATGAATGCAGTGACATTCACTTAAATGAAAGCCAAACAGGTTACACCATATTAATACCAACTCAGGATACATAATGAGTTCTCTTACATTACTCACCTCTAAAATTAACTCCAGAAATCAATAACACAATCTATCTTAAGATCTCTAAAATAAAAAGTTTAATTTTTAGGGACGCCTGGGTGGCTCAGTCGGTTAAGCGTCTGCCTTCAGCTCAGGTCATGATCCCAGGGTCCTGGGATCGAGTCCCGCATCGGGCTCCCTGCTCCATGGGAAGCCTGCTTCTCCCTCTGCCTCTGCCTCTCTCTCTCTATCTCTCATGAATAAATAAATAAAATCTTAAAAAAAAAAAAAGTTTAATTTTTAAACAACTAAATATTTTTTTAATGAACCCAAGTGAGAGACAAAAATGAATCTTCTACCTAAAGGTTCATCCATTACTGATTGTTTCACCAGAAGATCAATTCTCTGTATTTTGTTTGTTTTTGTTTGTTTTGTTTTATTCGGTTGGGGGGACATTAAAGAAGGCAGAGGAGAAGGATAAATAGCTAAGCAGAACAAAAAAATACAAACTAAAGGAGAAAAATCATTTGTGTCCATTTCTTAATATTGGAATCAACAAGTCCTCAAAAAAGCCCCCTGAAACTTTTTGACCAACTTTAGAGTTGCATGTTTCAAGTGATTAACAATGACGCTTTTACCAACCAACAAAACATATGGATTCATTCAACATTCCCAGATTATAAAATGGCCTAGTACTTAGTGTATGCCCAATAAATAATTGCTAAACCGATGCAAGTGTGAAGTGCCTATCATTAATAATCCCACAGAACTTCCTAATAACAAACCAATGACAAGAAACATGAGTTAATTGATATTCAAATTCCCTAACTCACATGGTATCTTATTCAGCTCTACTAATCATTGACATTTTCCATCCTACCTTACCTGTAATGTTTCATGCAACCCTAACTGATATCTGCCACTCCCCTAACATCTTTTGTTCTATTAACCTGTGAGCTTTCAACAAGTTTCACAGCTTAAATTGATCATTGGTCAACAATGAACAAAGAAATCTATCTTTAGTAAATTTAAAGAGACCTAGTACTTACAAAAGTAGCTGAATTATCCATAAAAGTAGCAATGTTGATAAGGATACAATGTATCTTTCTGCTGTTTCTTTCTATTTGAAATTCACAGCACTCTCATTAAAAGATATTTCACAAGTTTCCACAAACCCACAGAATGTGGATGTACTTTTACTGGAAAGGTACAGAGGTAACCTTCAGTTTTGTGAGTAAGCCTTGGTGCAGAGTGAGTAATCTCTGACAACAAGGAAGAATCTTGGTTTTTTACACTGTAAAAGACCCTACCTGGCAGGGACTTTCAAATCATTGAAAATATGGTTTTACAGAAGATGAGCCTCAGTTTCACCTCACTGCTATCAACTACCAGACGGAGGTGGGGACCTGACTCACTTGTATCCTTAGCTTTTGGGGTCTTGTTTGGGATATGACACACTGACCATTTGCTGGACTTTTTAGTCCTTAGGTATTCAAACAGCCAAAGGGAAACTCAGTCATCAATAAAAAGAAGAAGAATGCATTGTGCAGTCCCAGAAGCAATAATTCTCCATGAGGAGGCAGGTTGTCTATATCAGAAACTGGAGGTCAAAGATGGACTCTTTTAAATCACTTATGTCCCCTCATCTTAAACCTAATTGAGAATATCCACTATAGTGAGCCATTGTTACTCTGAGGAATAAGCCGAATCCCAGAAGGGGGTAAGGGTAGCAAAAAGGTTGAGAAGCGTGGCAGAAAAAGGATAAATTTTAGAGATTTCCTTTATAGTTCTTCACATTCTAAAGTTGAAAACCCAAGCATATATAGAAACCCAACTCTATCACTACCCTTTACGTTGGAAGGTATAAAGAGCTGTATTTATGGCTCCTCAGGGATCAGAGAATATTGAAGAATTAGATTAAGAAAGTATCTAATATCTGGGGGCACCTGGGTGGCTCAGATGGTTGAGCGTCTGCCTTCGGCTCAGGTCATGATCTCAGGGTCCTGGGATCGGGCCCCGCGTCAGGCTCCCTGCTTGGCGGGGAGCCTGCTCCTCCCTTTCCCTCTCCTACTCCCCCTGCTTGTGCTCCCTCGCTCTCTCTGTCAAATAAATAAATTTAAAAAAAAATCTTAAAAAAAAAAAAAAAGTATTTAATATCTGCCTGAGCAGAGCACTTACCTGAGCATAAACCAAAAAGCACAATCAGAAACTGAATAGAAACACCAAAGTAGGAACAGATATAAACATATCAATATGTAAAGAGGTAGAGACTAAACAGTCAAGAATATGTGGGAGTTGGGTGCCTGGGTGGCTCAGTCGGTTAAGCATCTGCCTTTGGCTCAGGTCATGATCCCAGGGTCCTGGGATCGAGCCCCGCGTCAGGCTCCCTGCTTGGCGGGGAGCCTGCTCCTCCCTCTCCCTCTCCTACTCCCCCTGCTTGTGCTCCCTCGCTCTCTCTGTCAAACAAATAAATAAAATCTTTAAAAAAAAAAAAAAAGAGTATGTGGGAGTTATTTAATGAAACCTACTACTCCAGAGGGAATATTTCATGAATAATAGCTAAAAGTAAGGTAATTATTATGCTGTGATCTAACTTAGCAATTGCTCATTAAATTAATAATAATAAAAGGTATCTCTGCAGATGTTGTAGCCAATTTACTGGTAGTTTCCATACAAAATTTACAGGTAGCTTTTTTTTCCTTTTTTTAAAGAAGTATTGCTAGTCACCATAGTGCAGTCTGAGTCCCATCTTTTTTTAATTTTATGAGTCACAGAATACCTCTCATTGTGATAACCACACAATAAGCTGGCCACTCTGTGTCTGCATCCTCAACATGAGAAATCCTGCCTGACTTAGGATTTGGTTTCACAAGAGCCTTTTTATCAGTCCCTCCAATTCAAGTCATTCAACACAAGTCTGCCTTGTTCCTACTGGCATCTAACCTCTGTGTAAACTCAATCCCAAAGAAAAAGTCAACCCATTTGAATGCCTTAGGGTACCAAGAAATTTGTACCAAAACTTCTTAAGCCATTTGACCTAAGCACAGATTCTGGGTAACATTTCACATAACTTCTAACACAATGTTTGCCTTACACTCTAGAGGCACTCAAACATTTGTATGCATTTGAATTAGCAGCAACACGAAATGTGAAATCGTACACTTAGCTCGTTAACATAACCGAATAATTTAAAGCTGGTTCTGTTCAGTAGATATTAGAAAAGGCTGTATGTTTTTAATCAGTTTTGGGATGCCTGGGTGGCTCAGTCGGTTAAGCATCTGTTTTTGGCTCATGTCATGATCCCAGGGTCCTGGGTCCAAGTCCCGCATCAGACTCCTTGCTCGGCGGGGAGCCTGCTTCTCCCTCTGCCTGCCGTTCCCCCTGCTTGTGCGCACTCTCTAATAAGTAAATAAAATCTTAAAAAAATAAAATAAAATAAATTAAAAAAAAAAACCACGATAGTGTCCCACAATGTGTTAACCCTTAAAAGAGCGATGCTTTCCTCATCCAGTTCCCTGGGGCTAACCTATATGTCTTTTTATACTAAACTAAGAAATAGATTTTTTCTGGATGGGGCATCTCAATTTTGTATCACAAATAAGGATCTTTGGCTGCACAGGCTGCACCAACTTTAATATTTTTTTTTTTTTAAGATTTTTTAAATTTATTTATCAGAGAGACAGAGGCAGGCAGAGGGAGAAGCAGGCCCCTTGCTGAGCAAGGAGCCCGATGTGGGACTCGATCCCAGGACCCTGGGATCATGACCTGAGCCGAAGGCAGACGCTTAACTGACGGAGCCACCCAGGCGTCCCCAGGCTGCACCAACTTTAGTCGATGCAGGCCATGCTTGGATTTAAAGTCCAAGATGGAATACCAATTGGGCAAAACAGTTGCTATGGGGACACAGATCTTCTGGACCAATAAGCTAGGGGCCCAGGCATGCAGTCCTATACCCAGTCACCTACAGAGACTTTGGGTGCACCATAGGTGGTTTCCATCAGCCTCAAAGAGATTTAAATTCATTATCTGTGAGGTCTAAGGCCTCTGTGGTCTTTTACAGGTTAAACAAATAATAAATATAAATTCTTATTTTTTTATAGAGCACATATTTAGAGTTCCATCTCAGGTAAAAATCTTCTAAGAGAGGAGATACAAATAAAGTTATAAAACCCAGGCCTACCTCTTCAGGCAGATGAAGAATGGTGTGTTCTCCAGCACTGAAGTGTGACAGAGATTTATATGCGGCATTTGCCACAACGGGGTCCTAGACAGGGTACCGGTAAGACAAACAAAAGAAACAATACACATTACACATCAACTCTGGAGGAACGAAGAAAATCTTACCGCACCAACCTCAAAGTTCTAGAGTCAGTGCTTTGGAAATGATACTCAAGCCCTGCTTACCGTGTCCCGACTGAAAATAGAGAGAAAACAGCAGTGGATAGGGAGATCAGAAGCACTCAATTTTTATCCTAGTTTGGACATTAAACATAAAGTAACTCAAAATCGCTCAGGTCCCCCATGACGTGATAGGGTTGGCTGGGAGGAGTGTGAGGAAATGGAGTCTGATAGGTTGGAATTAGGTTCTGATTCTCTAGCTACTAACCAGGAAAGTTAGCCCTTGGGAATCTCAGCTCCTACAGTCTTGAGTCTAGTAGTCTAGTAGAACATCACTGACAGACACCCTCCTCTCTGTACTCCTTGATTGGAAATGATATCTAAAAAAACTGAACTGGACTTTCTGTTTGCTTGATGTGCTTGTTGGCAGGGGAGGGGCAAAGCAGGAAAGGGGAAGGGCCATTAAAAAAAAAAAATGACACAACGACAGCAGTCTCCACATCTGTCAGCTTCACAAAGCAACACAAAGTAATGAAGTGCACTTCATGACAAAAATGTGTTAACGGGTGTAAATTGAGAAGAATTTCTAAAACCTAAACTCATTAACGTCACAATTCTTTTAATATCATGAAGCCATCATTTCGAGTTATATTTTTTATTTCAAGAGTCTTATTTCACAGTTCTTTCTCAGCTTGGTTCCGTTTCACTAACACCCTTGTGATAGTACCTTGTTTTGAGTGTGGGTCCAGAGGAAGCTGAGGACTTGAACTTTAAAATTCTGAAAAAGCAATAAACATCACAATAAATTGTTAAGATGAAGACAAAACTGGGAACAATCCAAAGTAGCAAAGAGTGAAAATTAACTCACTCAAAAGTATACCACTAGTGATTGACTTAATCTATATTTAGCCATCATTCATAAGGTGAAAATACTCAGAAAGAGATGCATTATGGAAACGCATGGACATTTTAAACACAGTATGTTAATATTAAATTTAGAAACCTAAACGTTTTTTGGCTGACCTCTCAAGTCCTACCTAGTACAAATTTCACTCCCCTCTTTCGTGCCACTGTTCCTGATCCTCTACCCAGAAGAGAGTACTCCCTTCACCAAGTGGCCATATGGCCCATGGCACACTCTAGCATCCAGTATGATTATCTGTGTATGTTGTTAACTCCCTACTAGATTTACACTCTTTAGGACAGTGACTGTCTTTTGCATTTCAAAAGCCTGGACCATAAAGTCCAGAAAAATAAAGGCCATAAAGCCCAGTTCCTCAAGTGACAAATATTTAATAAGTAATGAGCTTAAAAAGCCATTTATCTTCCAACATTGGCTCAATGTCGTCTTCATTTCAATCACATCTAACTTCTTGCCCTCCTAAGTCATAGAATGTTCTATACCTCCTTGTCTTTGTATATTCTAATTCTTAGACTTCAATGAAAAGCAACATTATTTTAAATTCTTTAAGAACCTAGTCTAATAGCACCAACTAAGTAAGGTTTCATTCGATTCCTTCTAGAATGCTAGTCACTTTCACCACCATACTCTCGTAGCCCTCTGATTAAGTGTACTCATCAAATGTTATTATAATTATTATTGCTTATATCCAACTCTTTTGCCAACTTTTGAGCTTTTGAAAGGCAGGGACTGACAATATGGTCTAATGAGAAAACAGAGGCTATGGAGCTAAATGTCCTGGGCTTAAACACCAGCCTTTGTTTAGAAACTACAACATTATTCAAGCTCCTTGTCTGGCATGTAGCAGGTACTCAATAAATATTTAATGAATGGATGTACCTCTCAAAACCTCAGATTCTTTAGCTCTAAAATGAAAATAATACCTTCCAATGAGATATTAGAACGAATTGGTATAAAGTAATGAGAAGAGTGGTGGGAATATAATAGGTACTTAAAAAGAATATCTATTATGTATTAGAATTTCTAAAGCCTAGGACAGCTTCACTAAATATATTCTGAGTCAATGAATGGATGTACAAGCACTTAGCAAAGCCATTCAGAAAATACACTAATTGAAACATGGTCTCTATTTGCAACAAGCTTATAGTTTAATGGGGAAAATAATATATATACATATACCTGTAGTATGAAACAGAAATAAATGTTCTTAGAACAGTATAAAGAACAGTATAAAGAATCAAGTCTATAGCAACAGACCCCTGCTTGCACAAAAAATTTGCAAAAAATGGGATGAATTAAACCAATTATTTTCTAAAACAGATTTTAAAATTGGGGATTTAAAAAAAAGGCAATTCTGACAGAGAGAAGAACATGCACAGAGGAAAAGAAATAGAAAAGTTTGGAGACAGAAAAAAAACATTCCAAACGGTTTAGTTTTCCTAGAGTGCAGGAGGCAAAAAGGTAGAGTGAGGCCGGATTCAAAAAGGCCTGACTGATTAGGTATAGAGAGGTTGGACTCCATTTTAGGCAAACACAAGACGCTGAGGTTACTGGGAAGAACAATGATCAAAGGAATGCTCTGGGAAAATTATATCCAAACTCTAAGCAGTTAACGGAGAACACATTATTTAAATACACATAGGGAGAGAGAAAAGAGGGAAGGAGAAAGGAAGGGACTGGGGCTGAGAGAGGCGGAAATGGGGGGAAAGAGAGGAACAGGGAGAGACAGAGAAAGAGCCAGCCAGACAGAATGAGACAGATGGACAGAAGTCTCTCTCCACATTTCTTGACTTCTGCTTCCAAGTGGACTACGGTTACTGAATGGCTCTCTCTTACTGGGAGGAAATTGATGGATAGAATGGCTCCAAAGCAGTCTATCTGAGCAACAGAGGAACCTTAGTATTAACACAAGCATGAAGATAAACCAAAATAAGACACCGGTGGACAAAAATGTAAATTTGAAGAAGACACACACACACACACACACACTTTACAGCCATTGGTAAGCAAACAAAAGAAACCAACACAAAAAGCAGTCCATAAATTAACCTGTAATAAAATCTGAATAAGTCAAAGTACAAGCAATACACAGGTATATGAGTTCAGTCCTTGAAAACAGAAAATAGATATACACAACACATCCTCACTTTGGCTTTTAGTCTTAGCTCTTTGTCAGTAGCCCAGCACACTTTCGGACAATGTAAGGGCATATATCATAACAGTCTCCATAAAAAAAGACTATCGGTAAACTATATACTCTAGGAGTCTCCAATGGATTCTTTTTTTTTTTAATACCCTAAAACAAAACCTCAAATATGAGAATAAACTCATCCTATACTGGTTGAATCATTCATTCAGTAACTACTTAACTGAATGTGTGTTATATGCCAGGCACGATGCCAGGTACTGTATCCTCAGGAAGGACAAATTTGATTTTATTTGCTGTGCAGCATTAAGAATGATTAGAAGAAGTATTATCTTATAATCCTGCCTTATCACATAATCTAAAGCATGTAAGGGACTATTACTGGATTCTTGTGGGGGAGGTAGTTTATCTGTGAAGCACTAAATCAAACTAAAAGTTCACAAAGATCTCAAGTGAAAATCAATCGCTGCGCTTTAATGGAAAAAGAGAAAAGGTAAGCATGAGTGGGAATATGGCTACAAAAGTGGAGACATAAATGAATTCACCACCCGCTCATTTCACTCATTTCAAGAAGAGATAATACAGAAAATGCTAAACAGAATATATGGATCTTATAACAAAGCATCTTCCACCAAGTGTTTGAGTTTACTGCAATGACAAATACCAAGCAGCTCATAAAGTTATTTTCCTCTCCTAAGATAGTCTGATTTTACAATCACCCTCATCGTACAGATGTATATAGGAAATGTGAACTAACGTGTAAAAATCAAATCTTTATGGGAAACCTAGAAGCAAAACACAAATGACAACATGTCTATACTATAGGAGATTCTGCCCTGCCCTATTAAAGTCTGTATTTTTTTAGAACTAAAAACACTAATAAAATGAATTTAAACTTTTGGCCTCAGGAATTCCATTATTTTAGAAACCCTATATTTTTAACATACTGACTTTTAATTTTATTTATTACATACTTTTTAAAATTTTGGCTATAGTCTCATAATAAAAATTTGATACCCTTTATGTAAATAAACCCTAAAGACACAGAATTGATAAGGATGGATAGTCTCCTATTCCTAGCAGTCCATAAAGATATCATGTCCTTAGAACAAAAAGTGTTAAAGGATTTTTGGCAAACAAAGAGTATGAATATCTTTTTCCCTAAGTTATTATAAAGCCCATATCTTTTCAATGTAGAAACAGAAAATGTATTGACCTCCAAATGCGTACCTCATATTCAGCCGTATTGACTGTTAAGGAAGGAACGAGAGAAAACAGTTCACTGAGGGTCTTCAAAATGAGAGGTCTCGTGTCACAGCTGAGCTTTGGGGAGAGCGCGTTCCAAGTTGAGCGAATGCAAACGACCTGTGAAGCAAATGAAAGAGTCAATGCCTAACAAAATCCCAACTGATAGGAGGCCATTAGTACCGAGTACTATCTTTCATTATAAGGAAACCAGGAAAGAACAAGAACATTCCCAGAAGTTAAGACTTGGTAAGGTATCACTCCTCAAAAGAAATGATTTAAACCAATATAAACTGTGGTTGAAGAAGGTCCAGCCTGACTCACATGACAGCTTCTTTACTACTTTATTTTGCTAACCAAGGAACTAAAACTCTCCCACGTGTACATGTGCATGCATGCCCGTGTGCACACTCGAGTTAGATTAGCTATGTATGTTGTTGAAGAACCATTCTCTGAAACAAAGAAGGGTAAGATAATGTTAGAACGTTTCTAAAGGCAGGTATCTGCAGCTTTTGTAGGCTTTTCAGCCCTGCTGCAATTGTGTCAGCATTCAGAAAATTGACATGCTAATATATATAAATTGAACATGCTCAAATCATCTTACAAACATTTAAAGGAGGCAGGAGAACAGCTGTATTATTTAAAATAATAATTTGGGCACCTGGCTGGCTCAGCTGGTAGAGTGAGCAACTCTTGATCTGGGTGGTCGTAAGTTCAAGCCCCATGTTGGGCAGAGAGCTTACTAACTAACCTAACTAACCAAATAAATAAAATACTTTAAAACTTTGCTTTAAAAGTCACTTCAGATTCTTTAAGAGGCTGTTAAATGACAAAATAAAACTACAGCCCAACAAAAATGTTATTTTTAACTCAACCCAATTTTCTAAACCAAGTGTTCTTAGTTCATTTCACTATCTGATTTTCTGGAGAATCAAATGTCTTCTTAAATTTGATTCCAACTACAACAGATGATTTCTTCACTTAGAGATATTTTATTAAAATTTTAAACTCCAGGCAAGAAGAGCTCCAACATAGATCAATTAGATAGAGTTTAACAAGGATCAATCTTTCTAAAATACTCCCATCTCTTAAGCTTCAATTAACGCACACAATTTATCTCTATCTACAAACATAAATTATTTAGGGAAAACTACATAAGGAAGTAAGTGAAAAGTGTCAAAGACAAATGAATAATATATACTTAAGGACACAGATTAAGGAGACGCTTGAGGAGGAGACCGCAGAAGGAGTATCTCAGAACACTTGGATTTGATGCTTTTGCTCTTATTTTCTTCTTCCCATGAAACAGCAGAAAAATGTTCTTTGGCTTGGGACCCACTACAAATTTCTATCGAATTCACATTTACTAAGGGGAATACTGTGTGACAGGCATGTCAGTAGGCACATTTATACAAAGTAGCACTAATATTACAAATCATCGGTATTTGCAATCAAAAGATAAACAAATTCTTTCAAAGCTATCAATTCAACATCGAGTATATGCCCAGAGTAGCATAAAGTACCAAGAGGAACAATGGAATATAAAACACAACCTAACATCCCACAGAATTTAGCACCTACTGAAAAGGAAGAGAATGTATATATAATTCTAAATTATCAGGAAGCAAAAGGTATATGATTAAATTTTAAACTGTGTTCAAAAGCAAAGAGTTTCAGGAGGAACCAAGGAGTAAAGTGCTCTCTGGGTGTGAGGGTCATCAGAGAGAACATCAAGATCCAGGAAGCCTAGAGATGGGCCTAGAAGAAGGAATAGACAGAAATCAGGTAGATACTCCCTGAGCAAGTGGAAAGCATAGGTCAAAACAAACAGAAAGCGAGTTGTGGGCGCAAAACTGGTATGCAAAGTACCGAGGGAAGGCTGACAGATCAGAGAGGACCTAGGTTCCCAAAATGAGTTTGAATCAGAATCAAAAAAGAAAAGGAAGCCTCTAGCGGTTTCTGAGCTGGGGAACAATCAATTAAAATGCTACCTTTGAAAGAATCTTCTGGTAGGCTTAGAGCCAAAGCTAAAGCAGTCACCCAACCTTGTTAATTCCTATTTCTCACTGGTCCCCAACACATACAGAGCCTCAAACGTTTTCCCCAAATCTCATGCTCAGTGTACTCACTAATTGTCCGTGCTTTCTCTTCACTTTCAATGCCCATCTGATTCCAACTGAGGGGGGTTTCAAGACCCAGTTCAAACCCCAGTTCCACAATTAAGCTTTCTCTTACACTTCAAGCCCTCCTTTTATCCCTTTCTTTCCTCCACCGTCTAACACTTAAAGTTCTGCACCATCCAATTTAGCATTTAATTATACACTGTCTAGTATTATTCACTATTTTCGTGAACGTAAGTTGTCTCCTCAAGTAGATATTAAGTTCTTTGAAGATAATGATCATGTCTTATAGTTCTCATTCCCCACTCACCTAGCATGGTAATAAGAATATAACAGATTATCAGTACTTATCAACTACTCATGGTACTGGAACCTGAGGAATGCTAAATCTGAGATGGAGAATAAAAGAATTAAAAGAACCTGGAGAGGGTGCCTGGGTGGCTCAGTCGTTAAGCGTCTACCTTCTGCTCAGGTCATGATCCCAGGGTCCTGGGATCGAGCCCCGCATCAGACTCCCTGCTTCTGGGAAGCCTGCTTCTCCCTCTCCCACTCCCCCTGCTTATGTTCCCTCTCTCGCTGTCTCTCTCTGTCAAACAAACAAACAAATAAATCAATAATGAACCTGGAGAATGAATCAGGAAGGGAAAGGTTTTGCAACTAAAGACCTAGGTGAATAAAAAATAACATTAAGGGCGCCTGGGTGGCTCAGTTGGTTGAGCGACTGCCTTCGGCTCGGGTCATGATCCTGGAGTCCCGGGATCGAGTCCCACATCGGGCTCCCTGCTCAGCGGGGAGTCTGCTTCTCCCTCTGACCCTCCTCCCTCTCATGCTGTCTCTCATTCTCTCTCTCGCAAATAAATAAAAAATCTTAAAAAAAAAAAAAAGTAACATTAAAAAAAGGAAGGAGGGGCGCCTAGGTGGCTGAGTTGGTCAAGTGTCTGCCTTCCGCTCAGGTTCTGGGATTGAGTCCTGCATCGGGCTGGGCTCTCTGCTCAGTGGGGAGTCTGCTTCTCCCTCTCTCTCTGCTGCTCCCCCTGCTTGTGCTCTCTCTCTGTCAAATAAATAAATAAAATCTTAAAAAAAAAAAAAGGGAAAACTGGAAGAAGGAGCACATTTGTAGGAGATGGAGCTAGAGATGGTGAGTTCCACTTGAGCTATGTCTAATGTGAGTTGATGGAAAGACATCCAGAGAGAAATACCCTGCAAGGAAAAGAAAAGTACTGTAACTCAGATGGGAGGTTGGTCAACAATAGTTTTGTCGTTTGAATACTCTAGAAATGAAACTACCTTGAGGAGGTATGGTCTCACAGATGCTCTGACGCACTCTGCAAATCAACAAAGAGAATGTCTGGCCACCAATGACAGAAGGACAAAAAGGGCCTTGCCCTTTTCGTGGGGGCTGGGTGGGCAGGAAGGCTACATCCTCCAAGTTTATTCAAGGATTCACAGAACTTTTTTTAAAAAAAGTCTTCTTTCTAGGAAGTTTGAAAGCGAAGGCCTAAAATGGTACTGTACATACGGACTAGGAGAAGCTATTTCAGAACCGTAGCCGGAAGTGTGGCCTTAGACGGGAGCAAGGTGTACCTGCAGGGAATACTTGTAAACCTAGGCTTGCCCCCATAACCAGAAGCAGGGAAGCCTCTAGTAAAGAAGGCTGCTTTCTTGGACCTTCCCAACCCTGGGCTATTCTTGACACTACATGGCAGAGATCTCCTGGCCCTGAGGGCTCCTTGAATTTAATCTATTACCATCTTGCTATATCCATCTCCTGGAACCCTGTGGATCTGATCCACTACCCTCGTGACCGTACAATCTATTGAATTATATCAGATTAGTCAGGCTCATGGTCCTGGCCTTTACGGGCTTGTTCTGCCTCTACTGTTCATTACCCAATCACTTGTCTGTTCAAAAAACAAATTGACATCTGGCTCTAAGAATGTGATGGGCCACACCTGAAGTGACTGATAAAGAAGGAAATTCTGCTCTATATAGCTGAGCTGAGAAGGAAAAAAGGTAGGGGTGGGAGCATGGGGAGAGGGTGGTGGTGTTAATTACCTAGTGCCAGAAACAAAGAGGCAAATTACTACACTGAGCGACTGTAAGAAAGTTGTCAGTTTCCATAACCTAATAGCTTGTGTTTCAATGTCCATGGGGAAAGAGGAGACACTGCCTTTAGCCCTATAGAAGGCAGGAAGTTGGAACTGAGACCCTCAGGGTGCCTGGGTGGTGCAGTTGATTATGTGTCCAACTCTTGGTTTCAGCTCAGGTAGTGATCTCGATCGAGGTCATGAGCTCAGGGTCATGTACTTAGGGTCCTGAGATAAAGCCCCCCGACGGCCTCTATGCTCAGTGGGAGTCTGCTTAAGACTCTCTCTCCCTCTCCCTCTGCTCCCTCCACTTGTGTATGCTCCCTCTCTAAAATAAAATAAATAAACTTAAAAGAAAAAAAAACACACACAAAAAACCAGCACCTTCAAAAGAGCGGACTCCCTAGTGTAATGGTTGGACTAAAAACCACTGAGCTGAGACACTAACATAAAAAACAGCAGTGAGCTAGGGGGCATCTGGATCACTCCCAAAGGAAATTCCTATAACGCACAACCCAAGTGGTTCACAGAGAAAAATGAAATGAAATAAGCTCCTCTAAAAAGGAGTTCATGATAAAAAATTTTTCAAAAAACTATGACACAGTCCAACATGAAAGAATCAACAAAAACAAGAAACAGCAGGACTAAACATCTAAGACCTTCAGATAACAGAACAGCAAACAAAAGTACTTGTAAGAATTAAAAAGATTTCAGACAAGGCATTTAATTACCAGTAAAAGAATATGGCATGATGGAAAAGAAGAACCAAATCTGGAAAAGAACCAAATAAGATCTCCAGAAATGAAGAATATAATCACTGAAATTATTAACACAACAGATAGAAAGTTACCCTAAATATAGACCAGAGAGATTAGAGTTATAAAACATAAAAAGAAATTCAAAGTCAGGTAGT